CATAAATACACACATATACACACATACACACACAATACAAACATATACACACATACATACATACACATACATACACATATATACACACATACATACACACACATACATACACATATATACACATACACATACACACACACACCAATAAAATTTTAGAAGTGTAGAAGTTAGGTTTAGTTCTTCCTCCCAGCCCCATGCTCCCAGAAATAAGACTCAGATTTAAAATATATTTACAAATACCTTGGCCACATAGCTAGGGTCTTCTCTGACTAGATCTAACTTAAATTAACCTATTTATTTTAACCTACACTCTGCTGCGTGGCTGGTTACCTGTGCTCAGGTACCAGCATCTATCTCACCATATCTTCCCAGGTGAATCTCCCCTTTGTGTAAAAAAATAAATCCGTTTTTCCCCCTGTAGTCCCTGCTCCTGGAATGTGGACTCTGAGACTAATTATTTATTATTAAATGCCTTGGCCATGAGCTTCGGCTTGTTCTCTAACTAGCTCATAACTTATTTAACCCATTCAAGCTATCCTATGTCTTCTGCAAGGTTAGTTACCTCTCCTTCAGTCCAGATCTGTTTCTTCCTTAGTGTCTTCCTCAGCGTCTCTCTTGAATCTCTTCTTTATATCTCTCCTGTTTCCCAGAATCCTCTATCATCCTGCCAGTGTCCCACCTCCTATTTCCTGCCGCAACTCATTGGTCATAGGCTTTTTTATTGACAGGTGATGCTTAGAAGAGATTCTCTCTACAAAAACCAAACCAAACCAAAACAAAAAGACACATCCTAAATTCCCCTACTCATATCATATCCCAAGTGCTCAATACTCAGATTTAGTGAGTTGTTGCCATTTTTGCAGACATCACTGTGAACAGTGCTTTTATCAGGCCTATAGATTTTTCATAGGTCCATCTCAATGTTTGCTGAAGACTGGTTTGTGACCTCTCATCCTTCCCTATACTCCTTCTTGTACTTCCTGACCACTCTGTGTCCTTTCACAACTCTGTGACGTAGGACATGCTGTTCTCTTCCTGAAATGGCCCTTGGCTTAAAGCTTAAAACATTTTCTTTTTCTTTTCTTTTTTTTCTTTTTTTCTTTTTTCTTTTTTCTTTTTTTTAGTACTAAAAATTGAACTTGAGGCTTAGCACATACTAGCAAGTGCGTCATGGCTGAACTTTATCCTCTACCCTTTTAAAAAATAACCATGATAGGCTCTTACCAAGTTGCCCAGGCTAGCCTCAAGCATGTGATACTTCTGCCTCCCCTTCTCTGAGAGCTGGGAGTAGAGATGTGCCCCTTCATCTCAGATGTTCCCATCTTTTCAGAAAGACTCAGACATCTTATCTGTGGAGCTCTTGATTTTTCTTGCCTTGAGTTCTTTTTGCCCATTGAGCATGGTTGTGTTGGCTTGAACACCATAATCTTGGTTTTGCAATGAGCTTAATAAAACCTAATTGACTCTTTCACACACACACACACACACACACTCACACACACACACACACACAATTTACGTGCTTGTTATTTCTTTGATATGTTTTAAAAACTTGCTTAGTGTTTTGGGAGAAATTTTGTCATCTCTAGCATTAAGTTAGAATGGCTTCCTGTCTTCCAGGCTGGAGTTTGCTTTTTCTCTTCCCTTCCTTCCTTCCTTCCTTCCTTCCTTCCTTCCTTCCTTCCTTCCT